TGAGATTGTGATATAAATCGAATTTATATGGGTCGAAATCAGTGCGGCGCAAAAAAACAGAAAATCGTTGAAAGCTTGAATAGAATGAGTAGATTTGAGAAACGTACAGAACTAAAAACTTACAATGCGGGATATAACTGCAATCGCCATCGTAATCCAATGAATAACTAAAGTCTCCAGATTAACGAACAGATAGGAAGTACACCAAAATCCGTGAACACCCCAATGTAAATCGTGAATGTAAAATTCTCTCGACACTAAAAGAAGGTTACATGAAATGTTATTGTGTCTGTTTGCTTGCATCATCGATGAAGCGTATCTTCTGCACTTAATTAGCGCTTTATTCGTTCTTCGAACAACCTCGACTCGACACAAGACGAAGCTGTTGTGCTTATCAAACATACGCAGTTGAGAAGTTGAATAAGCTCCAACTTTTACAGACTCTATTTTTGCCATGTCATTGAAATGTTTTATGCTGTTTTTATCATAATGAGAAAGACAAATTGCATTATCTGACTATTCGATCAGTTTCCGTTCACGTCTATTATCAAATGAGCAAAAGTATTGAGATTATTCGAAACAATTCTTCATTATTAACAAATTTTCTTGGAATCAACGAGAACATGTGAGGGATGAGTGAAAATATACAATGGATCCTAGCAAGTGATAAACCAATGCACATACAAATGATGAGCACAGCGATATTGACGGCATCCATTACATCCGCACCAATTGCACGGAAGCGTTCGAATTCACGCATTAATGTGAAACGAGCCGTTACCGATACAGTCAAGAAGATGAATGCCCATGCCCTTGAAGTAGCACCAGTGCAAAACCCAAGCAAATCAATAATATAAGCCAAATTAAATAATAAACACATAAGATGATTCATTGCTAAAAGACCTGAAATAGTGATTCAATTCACATCCTTTCAGGTTCAATTAAATCTGGAAAATATGGCCTTGGAAATGTTATTCTGATGAATGCTCGCTGCAATGCTTGTTTGAAATACCATTAACCATATTGTTCTTCCAATTGCTTTGATACCTGGTCAGTATGTTCGTCAGTATTAACCAACCACCCAATAATTAGCAACAATACGAATAATCGCTTGTTCAGTTAATATTTCTCAAAGTGAATTACAAAAAACATTCAAGCAAAGGTTTCACTTACACAATACTGCAAATATGAATGTGGCTATTATCACACGCGATAAAATACGCGATAAACAAGCGTCACATACGGCACGACATGTATGAAGTACGAGTGCAACACAAAGTGTGGTTGTTATATGAAAGTATATAATAATTACACAGAGCCAATAGCAATTAAATGGCATCCAAAATACAGTTTAGATCAGTTGAATCATTTTACAGCTAATGTGTTTTTAACAAATATAGCGCACCAAATCTATTCAGTGTGTAGTTTTGGGTTGTTGATTTGAATGTGAATATTATAATCTTAAATGATACACGAAACAATAGTCAGAAATTGACGCCGCACGAAAAGATTACAGGTTTGTATTCGCGAAAGAATGTTACCGATTCTGTCCATGTCATGTCCACTTGTCCATATTCTTCCTTTTTTTGTGCTTCTTCTTTTTTAATTTCGCATGAACACATATCTGCAACTTTGTTCACGGATTTTGATTTTTCCGTTCTGAGACAATCCTGAAAGACTGCATTATATGGGCATCATTAACGCTGGCACATGCAGAAAATTTTTTTTCGGGCGAACGCCATGAGAAGTGAATCACCGATATTCCACGAGGATTTTGGGAACATATTTGTGATATCAATTTTCTTACCTTGCGCACACTATCCACAGTGTCGAAATTGAAAGAGATTGTGGCAATGTGAATACGTTTTCGGTTATTCGCGGGAGAAACTATTGCACTAGATGTTTTCGAATGGTGCAATCAGAAAACGGAATAAACGTCAGGCATTGCGATGCGACTCCACAAAAATGTCCAACAGAAGAGTGCATTCACAATCAGCACAAGAATGCATGCTTTCACTGGTACTCTGATGTAAGTTTTTTACAGTATCACAGGCTGTATCGTTGCTGACTTTATC